GAGGCATGGAGCCTGCTTCCATGGGCCATCTCCCTTCTGCACAGGCAGTTTGCTGTCGCCAATGCCGAGAAGTTCATGGAGGTCTGGCTTATGAATGAGGCAGAAGCCAAAGGCCTGATGCGGAAAGCCCTCGATGCAGATCACATCATACACACCCAACAGCTGGGGCTGCCCTGGGAAGAGCCTCATTACTGGTTCCTGAACAATGTCGGCCCCCTTGGGCATTATAAGGTGAAGAGGAGGGCGACCAAGCTGGCTGCAGAGGTCCTGACAGGTGGGATGCACAGTGCCCTTGTCACCCTTGTAGCAGTGGGAGAGCCTCACCTTCCTCCGTGATATCTCCTTCTGTTACTCCTGTCCTTGCCATTGCAAGGTAGGAGGTGACATTTTGAGCCCAAGCAGAGGCTGTGCCCAGCCCTGAGCTGGCTCATGCCAAAGCAATGTGAGGATCTTCGTGCTGTACTTTAGCTCAGTGTTCCCAGTTCTGGACAAGCTGACCAGAGATTGTGTCCCAGGTTCTTTGGGGCACTTTTCAAGTCACAGGGAATAATTGTGATTTCCCTGATGACTCCTGCAATGATGTGACTGGGGAGCACAGTCAAAGCATAAAGGCGTTTGTTCGTCCTTCTTTCTCCATGTTTCAGAGGGCAGCTCTGGGGAAGGACAAGAAGAGGAAGGGAGAGAGGAGAAAGAAGAAGTGGGCAGCAGTGAAGGGGGAAAAGAAGACACAGTGAAGGTTGAGGGCAGAGTCACAGCCCTGGGAAATATCTCAAAGAAGACTGCTAAGAGGATCCTGGAGCTCGTGAGCAAAGAGTTGGTGCGTGATGATGTAGCACGTGCCTTGGTCAGGGAGCGGCCATATCGTCCCCTGCTTGTTCCAGCTTGTAGGGGATCTCTTCTGAGCTCCATGTCTTGGGATGAAGGCTTCTGCATGGCACTGCCTTGCTGTGCCAAGCAGCCTGTTGTCAGAGAGCTGCCCCAGGGGCTGGAAGAGGGTCTCCAGGTGTCTGTTCCAGAGCCCCCTGGCCCTGCCCAGCTTCACAGTGCCTGCCTGCTGCCCACTCTCCCTGCTCAGCTTGCCACCACAGAGATGACACAGCTATAGCATTGCATGGGCTGGCCTCTGGGCAGGGGCAGAGACACTCACTGTTTCTCTGCACCCTCTTCTCTTGCCTGTCTCCCTAGGATTTCCTCATTGAGAACAAGCTGCTGAAGCCCTTGAAAGCGCTGGAGAGGCACAACCGCATCCTCATAAAGCTCGACTACATCTTTGAGGTGAGCTGTGGCTTGGCCCATCAGGGGCTGCAGGGAAGGGAAAGCTCTCTGCCCCATGTCCATGGGGTGTAGGAGTCTCAGCCCCTCCAGTGAGGTCAGGCTGGGCTTCTGGGAGTACTCTGGGGCAACAAGGGGAGAGGAGCACTGTGAGAGGGTGTGAAGCACTGTGGCTGGATGCTTCTCAACTCAAGGCCGTCCTGCTGACGAATTGGACATCTCCAGGGCCCCTCCAAACTGTCCTCAGACTCTCCCATCCACAGATAGCCCCAGCTGTCCCACACTATCCCCTTCTTACCACTCGCTCCTGCCTTGAGTGGCATCGCCGGAGGGGTACCCTCTGCTCCTGGGAGATGCTCTTTGTTCCACTCCACCTCCCGTGATGTCTCAGGGGGAGGCTGACCTGGTTCCTCTGCCTCCCCAGGCCATCGGAATCAACAGTGAGGATGACCTGTACCAGCTGCTGGACTTTTTCCTGAAGTACAAATCCCAGGAGGTGGCTGCGAGCCAGGTGGGACCACCAGGGGCAGCAGTGGGGAAGAGCCCAGGTGTTCCGGGAAGGAGGAGCAGAACATCTGAACACCCAGGGAGGGCAGAGAGAGGGAAGAGGGTGTTGACCCTGAAATGTTTCTCTATGATGGGACAAGCGAGTTGAACATGCCAGGGCTGAGGGGATGTAATCTTCTGTTTTGGCCAAATAGAGCCTCTTGCACATGAATTTTTGCATCAGCTCCCTAAATTTGCCAAGGCACAAGGCTATGGGCAGCTGGAGCTTTCAGGGGGAAGGTGGCTCTTGGGGAGGAGGAGGTGGTCAAGGCACTGTGCCCAACTTGCTGGCCTTCCCTCCAGAGCCAGAACAGCCCAGGTGGAGATCCAGCTGAGAGCAGAGAGGATGATGGATCTGGCACCCAGAGGGACAAATCCCCTCAGAGCTCGCTCCCATCTGTGCACATCCACACTGATGATGTCCTAAAGATCCTGAAAGCGTTTGTGCGGGACTTTGACAAGTTGAGGTAGGACTATGGGCAGAGCGGGGCAGTTGTCACTAGGAGGGAGCTGGGCTGGGGCACAGCAGGGGCTCTGGGTGGACTGCATTGCCCTGGCTGCAGTGAGAGCTTCCCCCTGCCTGTCCTGCAAGATTACAGAGGGGTGAGGAGGGTCCCACCAAGGCAGGGGTACAGGCAGTGCCTGTGTGAGGGATGACTGGGGATGACGAGGCAGGAGATGAGCAGCAGCAGGGGGAGGGAAGCAAAGCCCTGGAGCAGGCAGGTACCAGCTGTGGGGTCATGCTCATCCATGTGATGATGGCAGTGGTGCTCAGGGCAGCTGAGGGGCTATTCCTCTCCAATGAGGAGCTGAGCCCCAGGGCTTTGTTCTCTGTCCCCCAGGCAGAGGAAGGGGGAGGAGAAGAAAAAAGACAAGGATAAGGAGGTGCTACAGGTACGGGACAGCTCCAAGGATGGGGAATACTGGGAAGCTGTGGCACATGTTATCCCCGAGACGACGCTGAAGCTGTGGGATGCGCTGGCAGCAGCACTGGAGGACTATTAGTGAGTGCCTGGCAATGACTGCTGGGGACAGGGCAGGCTGGTGGTGTGGCTGGGGAAACCACAGTGGGGCTGGCACCACCACCAACCCTCTGCCCTCCTTGCTCAGTGAGGTCCTCAGGCGGAGGGCCATCCTGGTCACCGAAGCAGGCATCCTTCAGCAGCAGAACTCAGAGCTGTGCCGGTTGCTGGAGAAGTACGTCAGCTCTGGGGTGAGTGCATTATCCCCCTCTTTCATCCACCCCATGCTGTGTGCCCCACACAGTGCTCCCAGACATGGGGCCACTGCCCAGAGCCCATCGCTGTCAGGCTCAGGGAGATTTTCCCTACAGTTGAACAGCAAACTGATCTGCCCTCCCACACAGTGGATGGATGTGAACCTGTCCTGACCTGGGGAAACACAGTGAGTGCCCAGGGCCAGGCCACATCTTTTCTCTGCCCGGAGCTGAAGCTGTGTCTGGGGCCAGGGCTAATAAACCCTTCACAAACCCGGCAGTTTGTGTGTGAATCCTGAGCGCCCTGCTTGCCTCCAAAGATGCTGGGGAGCCACAGCCAAGCATAACCCCAATCCAGGGGACTCATGGCACTGTGGGAAAGCTTTTCCCATATCACTTATGCTACAAAGCCATGTGGTCAGTGTCGTCCCTTCTCTCCATGCAGCCCAAGCCAGGACCCTGCACCTCCCAAGGGTCAGCATCCCACTGCTGTGTCCTGGCTTTGGCAGAGCTCACCTTCTTTTACCTGTTCTTACACCTTATTCCCTACTTTTCCTTTTACTGCCCCAACATCTCTTCCCCCCCCCAGAATACCCCCAAACAATCCACTCCCAATTATTTTTCCCTCAGTGGTCTCAGGGCTGCTACATCTGTACCCAAATTCTGCATTTTGGTGTGGCCACCTTGCATCAGTCAGGCCACCCCCCTGGTTCACACCAGTTCTATCTCATTCCCAGTACAGACTTTATCTTTAGCCTTGACTCCCGTGCTGAGTGCTAACACAGCACATGCAGTTTCTCATACCAGAGCAGAGTAACACTGTATTGACTTTTTTTTTGCTGTCCTTGAATTGTTTTCACCTTTCTCCTGGTCCCCATGAGGGATCCAGCCATCTCCAAGGGCCGGTGATCCTGTGGGATGGCTTGCTGTCTGCACCCCTGGGGTACAGCAGGATCCATGGGGCAGGAATTCAAATAAAAATGCCAAGAGTGTGAGGGTGGAGGACAGGAAAAGGGTTTTGGGGCAGGGGAGGCAGGGATGGGGCAGGAGAGCAGCAGACACCACCCAGCACATCTTGGTCTGCTGGGCTCCCAGAATTGCCAAGGCAATCCCCAATCAAGGAGTCAGGGGATGTTCCACCTGCAGTCCTGCATCCAGCTCTGGAGTCCCCAACATGCGGAAGAGGGACGTGGAGCTGTTGGAGCGAGTCCAGAGGAGGCCATGAAGATGCTCTGAGGGCTGGCGCACCTCTGCTATGGAGACAGGCTGAGAGAGCTGGGCTTGTTCAGTCTGGAGAAGAGAAGGCTCCACAGAGACCTTAGAGCAGCTTCCAGTGCCTAAAGGGGCTGACAAGAAAGCTGGAGAGGGGCTTTTGACAAGGGCCTGTAGGGACAGGACAAGGGGGAATGGCTTTAACCTGGCAGAGGGGAGACTGGGATGAGCTCTTAGGCAGAAGTTGTTCCCTGTGAGGGTGGTGAGGCCCTGGCACAGGTTGCCCAGGGAAGCTGTGGCTGCCCCATCCCCGGCAGTGTTCAAGGCCAGGTTGGATGGGGCTTGGAGCAACCTGGTCTAGTGGAAGGTGTCCCTGCCTGTGACAGGGGGTTGGAACTGGATGAGCTTTAAGGTCCCTTCCAACTCAGACCATTCTGGGATTCTAGGATTCAGTGTTTGGGAACCTCATTCCCGACAAGGGACAGAGCAGCCTCCAGCTCTTGTAGCTACAGAGGGAAGTGAGCAAGTGGGTGTCAGTGACTCCAGTTCCACCGGGGGAAGGGGGCACAGGAGAGCCCTAATATCCAACACACCCCCCCCCCCCCCGACCGTGCTTGTCCCGGGAGGAGTGTCATGAACCGGTGAAGATCCCCCCTCAGCACCCGCCCCGGCGCCTGAGGCCCGGCCCCTGCTCCGCCCCGCTCCGTCCCTCTCCGCCCTACCGCTGCCAGCCCTAAACGAGCCCCGGCACCGGGATGCTGCAGATGTCCGCCCGGACCCCTCGCCGCCTGTCGCGGTGGAGGGGCCGCTGCAGGCGTTGCTATTCGCCCTCGGCAAGGTAGGAACCCCCTAACTCCCCTATTCTCCTTGGAACCCGGGAGCACGGCGCTGAGCACTCGCCGTGCACTAGGGGAGCGCCGGGGTCCGGGCACTGGGGCTGCCTCGTGGGCTGCGGTCTGGGCTGTGGGGCAGCCCTGGACGTGGTAGTCCCGGTCCCGGTTAGGGCACCGGAGCAGTACCGAGGTTGAGGATCCGGGGCTGGCGGCCTGGCTCCGGGCCCCGGGTAAAGTACCGGGCATAGGGATCCGGGTCTGGGCACCGGGGCTGTCCTGAGCTTGGGGATCCGGGCCCCAGGGTAGAACAACGGAGATGGGACCCCGGATCTAGGCACCGCGGCTGTCTCTGGCTTGGGGGTTCCGGTCAGGGCACCGGAGCAGCGCAGGAAGTCTGGGTCCGGGTCCGGACCCGGACCCCGCGGGAAAGCACTGGGGGTGCGGGTCCGAAGCAGCGCCAGAGGTGGAGGTGGCGGTCAGGGCACCGGAGCAGCACCGAGGTTGGGTGCCGGCTGCGAGGGTCCTGGTCTGGGCGCTGCAGCAACACTGAGTTGGGGCGCCGGGGTTGCCCCGGGGCTGCCGGCCTGGGTCCGGGCGCAAGTACCGAGTATAGGGACCCGGGTCTGGGCACCGGCGCTGCCCTGGGATGGAGGAGAGCCCCGAGCTGTGGGTCCGGGCCACGAAGCCGCCCCGCGCGGGGTCCGGCCGCTTCCCCGCGCTGTCGGAGCGCGTTGTGGAGCGCGCCCTGGGTGGTGTCAGTCAGGCGAGCGCTGCCCGGGGCGGGAGCGGGTGAGTCACCGGCAGGAAACCGATTGCATCAGGAACGGGGCTTTTTTTCCAGCCGGGAATCCCGGAAAGCGCCGCTCCAATCTCTCTCTATCCCCCCTCTCCCCAGCGCCATGGAGAAAGGAGCCAGCGACGGTGGCAGCAGCTCAGAGGTCTTGCCTTCGTCTTCCACGGCCACCTTCAAGGAGGAGCTGCTGTGCCCCATCTGCTACGACCCTTTCCGGGAAGCCGTGACACTTTGCTGCGGCCACAACTTCTGCAAGGGCTGCGTGAGCCGTTCCTGGGAGCACCAGCGCCACGTCTGCCCCGTCTGCAAGGAGCCCTCCTCCTTCGATGACCTGCGCATCAACCACACGCTCAACAACCTGGTGGAGATGATCCTCAAGGATGAAGGGCAGCGGCAGGGCCGCGCGGCCACCCTCTGTCCCCTGCATCACGAGGAAGCCAAACTCTTCTGCCTGGAGGATAAGGAGCTGGCGTGCTTTGTCTGCCAGAGCTCCAAGCAGCACGAAGGACACAAGATGCGGCCGGTGCAGGAGGTGGCGACGGACTTCAGGGTGAGGAATGTTCTAGGCATAGAGGGAGGAGGGATGGCGGGTGGAGGCACCCCAGTATCTGGAGGGGTCCAGCCCGCACACCCCATGGCACCAACTTGCCAGCACATGGCTTTGACTCGCGCCAAAGTGTGATTGTACCCACCAGTGTGCTGGGATGAGGGACAGAGCTGCCGCACTGCAAGAGTGAGTCCCACATGAGTGCCCCCAATGCGCTCCCTGCCCAGTAATTACTCAGTGCCACCCCGATGGTGCTTTGCCCCACGGGAAAGGGGAGCAGGGCGATGCTCTAGGGGTTTGGAGAGCAGCCAGGTCCCTGCATTTCCTCCACTGGGCTGGGCTGGGTCTGGCCACGCTGGTTGTTGCAGCAGCTGATTATTGCAGCAGCGCCTCGGGGTTAGGAGTGTGTTTGGGATGGGGGTTGCACAACTCCCCCAGCCAGGGAGGGATGTGGGATGGGGAGGCAGCCCCAAGCCCTGTGGGGCCAGATGGGTCATGGCTGCATGGGGAGGAGGAGGGGGAGGAGATGGGCTCTGGCCAGCAGCCGGGCATCATGCCAGGATCCACCGTGTTTCCTGGCTGGGAAAGCAGCCGCTGCTGCCCTGACTCAGCCCACAGGGACGAGCCAGATTTCAAATGTGGCGGGGCAGACGTGGGGCTGCTGCTTTGCAAGTCTTGACGGGCTGCCAGCAGCACCAGGGCAGGCAGGGACTTGATGGTGCATCAGTAGAAGGGCTTAAAACAGCAGGGAGGATTTGTCAGGGAGCAAAGCTTCTCTGCCTCACAGCAGCAGCGTGTTTGCATGGCCCTGTGAGGGGCTGACCTCAGCCGCAGGAGGGGAATGTGTGGATGGAGCAAGCATCCTGCTTAACCACATCCTACTGGGCTTGGAACTCTTGTCTTTCTGCACTGGAAACCCTGGGTGTAGGCTTGTGAAGGTCCTGAAGGCATCTCCTCCCCACAGGCCAAGCTGAAGAACATGGAGTCTTCCCTGCGGGATAAGGCAAAGGATTTCGGGGCTGTGCATCGCTCCTATGAGTCCATCTCCAAACACAACCAGGTGCATGGTCCCTATGAGCAGGGAGGCAGTGGATCCAGACGCACGTGTGCAAACACATGCATACATGTGTAAATGCATGCACATGCATGCACACACCCCGGGCAGGAGAGCAGGTGGCTCTGGTGTGGGACACTGCACCCACTCTGGGATGCTCCATCCCTCGGTGAGGAGGGTGATGATGGGGGAGGAAGGACTCAGATGGGGACTTGAGGAGCAGGGTGATGGGGCTGTGCCTGCTGTGGGAGCAGGAATTGGGATCTGGGGAGGGCAGCATGGTCCTGGTTGGAGCCTGGCAGGTCCCTGAGTGCTGGAGCTGGTTGAGGGGGGCTCCAGAGAAGTGCTTATGGAAGGCTGTTGTGAGCCCAGGGGAGTGGGGTGCTCCGAAGGGAGGTGCTGACATCCCCACACGGGGCAGGTGGAAGTGATGCGGCTGGAGGAGCAGATCAGGAAGGAGTTTGAGAAGCTGCATGAGTTCCTGCGGAGTGAGGAGCAGGCACTGCTGGCCCAGCTGCAGGAGGAGGCGCGGCGCAAGCACAGCACCCTTGAGGGCAAGATGAAGCAGTTGGCGGATGAGAGCCGAGCCCTGCTCAACGAAGCCCGCCAGCTCCAGGTGGACCTCAAGAAGGATGACTACACCTTCCTCATGGTAAAGCCCTGCCGGGGTGCTGCCCCATGCTTGGCATCTCTGCTGGGGTGCCAGCAGGGCACTGGGTGATCCTTTCAGTGTTTGCAAGCCCCTGTGAGTCCTTACAAGCCAGGGTCTGATGCCTCGTATCTCCTTCTCTTTCAGACCCACAAGAACCGCAAGCGCAGGTAAGTCCTGGTCCCTGCTGTGTCCCCTGCCTGGTGGCACAGGGTGCTCAGGGTTGTTGAGCCCCCATATCCTCTCCTTGGGGGTGAATGGGGTCTGCTGCCTGGCTGCAGAGCAAGGTCTCTGCCCCAGGTGAGTTCCTTTTGTGTACCCCTCAGGTATGGGTGCTCCAGCTCAGAGGGTCCCCAGGGCCAGGCAGCACCCCTAGGTGCCTCTGGGCAGGATAGGGGGCACATATGCAGAAACAAATCAAAATTGCAGGTGTTGTGGGAAGCATTAGAACTGTGATGTTGGGGGGATTTGGTGCTGGGACCCTTGTGGGGTGAGAGCTAGGTTTGGGAGATGTGGGGTGCTGGTGGGGAAGCTCTGGCTAAAATGCAGATGCCAGGAGACCCAGTCAGTCCCTTCATCCCTGACCCATCTCCGTCCTCTGCCCCTGCCCTAGGATTGCCTGCACAGCTGAGGAGCCAGAGCCTGTGCAGTCAGGGATGCTTCTCGATGTCCCCAAGTACCTGGGCTCACTGCAGTACAATGTGTGGAAGAAGATGCTGGACATCATCACTGTAGGTGAGGTACTGGGTCCACTCCAAAGGGGTCATCCCAGGGCTAAAGCAGCCTTTGTATGGGGCAGCCTAAGGGGTGGTGGGTGCTGAAGAGGAGCATGGAGCAGCCATGGCCATAGCTGGGATGTTGGAGAGCATAAAGGGTGCTCTGGGGCACTTGCATCCCAAAAGGGAAGCCCTGGAAGGTGCATTTCTCCATGGTGAACTGGGTTAGGAAAGGGAGGGAGGGTGGGTGGACGGGTGGGTGCCTGTAAGCTCATCACTGCAGCAAGCTGGGCTCCTAACACACATCCCCACCACAGTGCCCTTTAGCTTCAACCCTAACTCCGCGGCGGGCTGGCTCTCGGTGTCCGAGGACCTCACCAGCGTCACCAATGGGGGCTACAAGCTGCTGGTGGAGAACCCCGAGCGCTTCACCTCAGCCCCCTGCATCCTGGGCTCCTGTGGCTTCTCCACCGGCTTCCACACATGGGAGGTGGACCTGGGCACCATCAAGAACTGGAGGGTGGGGGTGGCCCGGCTGCGCAGTGGCAGCCACTGGACCTTCCACCATGATGCTCGCTCCGGCTTCTGGTACATCTACAGCCTGTCCGGGAAGGACAGTGAGCTGTGCCGAGCATCCAACATGGCACGGTCTGAGACGGCGATGGGCAACGTGAGACGGATCCGTGTGGAGCTGGACTGTGATGAAGGGGAGCTGTCCTTCTACGACGCTGACCACAAGACCCACATCTACACCTTCCATGAGAAGTTTGGTGGCACTGTCTTCCCCTACTTCTACATTGGGGGTAGACCGGTGGGTGCGATGCCCAGTTCGCTCCGCATCTGTCCCCTCCGGGTCCAAGTCCATGAGGATGTGCCTGTCTAGTGGCCACCATCTCCTGCCACCACTGCCTCTACCTGTATTTGGGGTTCTTCTGGTGCTCTTTTAGCTTTCCTCAGGAAAAAGAACAGGACAAAAGCCATGTATGGATGTACTGTCTCTTCTTTATTTTTTTCTCATTAATAAACATTTTGCTCTTTTTCCATCTCTCGGTGTTCAACTCACTTTTGTTCCTTTCCTGCATCCCTCCTGAATCAAAGCTGGGAAGGCTTTGCGGAAGAGGTATCTCCCTGCCAGGGTGCTGTAAATAGGAAATTAAACTATCTGGGGGCTCCTGAACTCTGTGGGGAGGGAGGAATCCCACACAGCTTGGCTTTACTCAGGCAGAAGCTTGTCTTTCCCCTCTACAAGGAAAACTATTAGTGGGGACATCCTTGAGAGCAACAACCCATCCCCTCCAACCCTTATCCCCATCGCTTCACACCCCTTGAAGGACTTTTCCATAAATCCCCATGTCCCAGAGCAGGGTGCCGATGTGCAGTTGGGGTTTGGAGGTGGAGGAGGCTCAGAATTGGGATGGGGAGAGACAAAAACAGCCTCTACAACCCCTTGCTGGGTATGGCCTGACATTAATAGTTCCCAAAAGGCTTTTTCCTCCAGCCTGGTGAACCCTTGGGGTTTGAAGGTGATGTCCTGGGGAAAGGGGGGGATGCCTGGGGAGCCGAGCTGCCCTCACTGCCTGGTGCTGGCCCAGCCAGGACCTCACCGGCAGGATACTGATATTAACGGGTGGTTTCTATGGTTTCTCACCATTTGCATAGGATGCTTCTTAGGAACTAGAGCTGGGGGTGGAAAAACAACAGGGAGAGTTGGAGGCGTGCGGTGCGGGGGCCACCCAGGGACTCCTCCGCCTTCTTGGCTTCAGCTCATGTTATCTGTTTTCAACTGAACATCCCTGGATACTGGGAAAAGAGGAAAATGAGCACAGGCATCCCATCTCCTGCCCTGCGCCATACCCTTATGCTGCTTATCACCCCCTTACAAACTGGCAGTGTCTGGAAATTCGGGCATCCTGCAGCCAGCTTAGGCACAAGAAAGGTGTTGTTTGGGAACAACAAAAGCCAATGGAGCTCTCTGGGCTGATGGGGCTGGAGCAGGAGGAGGTGTTTACTCTTTGTAAGGCCCGAAGGGAACATTTCCCTCCTGTGGCTGCAAGTGCCAGAGCAGGTGCCCGGGGTGCAAACAGCAATAAAAAGTGAAAAGAGACGTTGCTTTGGGCAGCGAAACAGAAGCATTTTGATTTTTTCCAAATCATTCGGTGAAAAACTGGTTTGCAGGAACCAATAGGAATGAATGAACCGGTTGGATCCTGAAGACTCTGCAGGTGTTAGTTTAATAAATGGTACCTGCATCTTCCCCAGGGCTTGATTTTGTCCCACAGAGGCACATAAATAGGTGATGCTTCCCCAGGACTGAGCACTTGCTGGCACACCCGATTTCATTTATTATGATTATAATGATGTTTATTGGTTTAGCCTCATTTTTGGCTGCTCTTGCAGAGGGTGGAGCCCTCTGGCTGCCCAGGATCCCCATCCCTATCCACATCCCCATGCATCCCATCCCCATCCATCCTTCCCCTGCAAGTGGGATGGCTCCATGGGTGCGCATGGGACTCCCTGGTATCCGGGTGGGGAAGAAGGAGTGAATCTAAGCAGGTGAGGGCTGGGGTTGCTGTATAGACACACACACACACCCCCCCCCCCCCATCAGGCTGTACTGATCTCCCCTCCCAGCGTTTTTAGGACCGGATGATATTTCGGAGAGGCAGGCAGCTCTCCCATTGGCTCGCAGCCCCGCGATGATGTAATTTCTGACCAATCCGAGGGAGAACAGCACCTTTCCCCCCCCCCCCCCTTCCCCCCGCCCGCCTTCCCTCACCGCTGGTACCCAGCGCTAGGGCTGGTGCATCCCGGAGGGGTGGGGAGCAAAAATGGAGGGGACCCCCCAGAAGGAGGATTCCCGGGATGGCCCAGCCCTGGATGAGGGATCCTGGGGACGTATCCTGCTCTGGGTCCTGAGCGCTGGGGAAGGTGGATGGGGCTGAGACTGCGGTGACTGGGATGCTCCACGTCTTCCCAGGACCATGAATCCTCTGGGATAAGGGGAGTCCAAACCTGCGGATCTTCTCGCTGAAGGATCTGTGGATATTGAATGTTGGAGGGGTGGAGGTCGGAGATGTCCAGGGAGAGGAATAGAGAGAGGGGGTGCAGAGCCCTCCTCCAGCCCTGCAACCCCCCGAGTATGGCTGTAGGACGGCAAAACACCAAATACACTCGCCCCATCCTCAGGGTCCCCCTGGGGTGCCCACTTTGGGCAGAGGGGCATCATCCCTGCACACACGGACCTTTCTGCACGGCCAGCTGGATGGAGCACAGCCTGCACACGGGGTTTTCCCGATCTCTCCTATCCCCTCCGCCCATGCTGGCACTGGGATGCTGAGCAAGTTTCCCTGAGCCAGCAGGCTGCAGCCGTAGGAATTAGCAAACCCTTTTCTTCATGTTTCTCTTGTGGAACTCCTCTTGCTGCCGGGGCTCTTTCCACCCCAAAACCAGCCTGGCTCCATGGCCAGCCTCTCCTCCTGCCATCTCCTATCCTGGAGATGGTCCCAAACCCAGGGAAAGCTTGAATGTGAAAGAAGTGGTCCATGGCAGCCCACAGTCCCCACCACCCTGGGCAGACCCAAATCTCCTTGGTCTCCGTTTTCTGCACCTTGTTTCACTGGCACCAGCACACACTGCCAGGGAAAAGCAGTTCCCTGGGGCAGCCGGGAGAGCTGGCAGGGCAGAGGTTGGAAGCCCTCAGGGATGGTGCCCACCAAGTGTCCCCAGAGCCACAGCCTTGCACAGGGTCTCCAGGGACTGAAACCAAGCTCCATTCCCCAACATTGCTGGTCTTGTGGAGCCAGGGGACAAGAAGACAGCTCCAGATGAGACCCCTCAGAGCATCTGCAGTGGCTGAGAGAGCCATGATCCCTGGTGCCAGCTGCATCAGGGACCATCCTGCAGCCACGTGGATCCCCACAATGGCTCTTTGTCCCCCAGTTGGCTGCTGCCTCTTGACTCTTTCTTCCCCTTGTCCAGTCTGTCTCAGGGCTTCAGCTCCTCGCATGTCCCAAGGGCATTCCATCCATGGCACCCACATCTGCATGGGCACATGAGTTCTGTTGAGCTGGGGGCTGGGGCATGGAGCTCGCTCATCACTCGTGCAGAGAGGAGCCTGTTGGAGGGAAGCAACACGTCATTGATACTGTTTATGCAGGATGTGATGGATAACTCAAAGCCAAGCTGCGGTGTCACATGTATGATCTCAACCCCATTTCCAGCTGGGTCACCCTGTCCTTCCTCATGTCCTGCAGCCATGGGCTTTGCAAAACCACCCTACATTTGTTTTCCATGGGGAACCACCTCCCCACATTGCCCTTATGCTCATTGCATAATAGAGGAGACCAGCACCTAAATATACCCACACGGTTTCCCAGGGGTGCCGGGCCTGTGATCACCGTCAGGAGCCGCCGTCAGTGACAAATAGGTCAGGGTGAAGCAGATCTGGGGAAAGGAGAGTCAGTTTAAGGGAAGGGCACAGCTCTAAAGGGATGTCTGACTTCTTCTGGGGCTCCCTGGGGATCCCCTCTCACCTCAGCATCCGCAGCAGCATCGCACCAAAATAGCTTCAGGATTTGGGACTCGGCCTCTCCAAGCTCCCCTTACCCAGTTTGTAGAAGAAGGATAACGAGTCTTATGTGCCACTGGGGCTGGGAATGGGTCACACCGCATCCCAGCCCTGGGAGGATGGAGGGGACACCCTGTTTCTCCCCACCATGGAGATGACAACCCATGGGTGTGAGGTGGGGGATGCCATTAAGGCCCATTAAACCCTCTGTGTTCCCTTCTTTGTAATTTTGCCACTCTCCAGCTTTGTCCTGCTCTAGCAGAGAATCAAACCTTGCATTCCATCATGCCCACACCCCTTTCAACCCATCACCCCCCCAGAACTCCACCAAAACCCCTTTTTTGGGTCTAAATGCATCTCCCCCACACACCCCCTTTCCTTTTTATCCTTTTTTTCTTCCCCCTTTTTAATACGTTTTCCATTATTATTCCCAGGCCCATCCCGAAAATAGCAGTTGGGTGTGATGTCACCGGGCTGGTACCCGGTTCGTAGAGCCCCCGGGCCAATCAGCGGCGGCGGCGCTGCTGCTCCAATGGCGGGCCGGGGAGGTGATGTCATGGGGGCGGGGGGGTGATGTCATGGGGGGCTCCGGGCCCCCCGGCTGGGATGCTCCGTGCAGACCCCCCGCGCCCGCGTTAAAGGAGCCCAGAGAGCGCGGAGGAGCAGCCTGAGCGCCGGCGGAGCGGTGAGTGCGATGGGGGGGACCGCTTTGCTCCACGGGGGGGTGTCTGTGTGTGGTGTGTGTGTGTCTGGTTTGGAAAGAGAAAAGTTCTTCTGGGAGGGGTTGAGGAGGGGGCATTTTTCCAGGAGGGTACCTGGATGTCGCTTTGTGCCCGCGACACCCCTCTTTTTCCCCATCCCTCCATCGTCCCCCAGTACATCCCTTTTGGGACGCACCCGCTGCGACCCGAGCAGGTACCTCTTCCCGCAGGGGGCTGGTGTGTGTTCCCCGCCTCGACAGCCGAGCTCGGGCTGCTGGAGAGCTCCTCGCATTCCCTTCTATCTCCCTCGCTCCACGGGCTTCATCCAGCCACGCGTGGCAGCCCACGCCCATGCTGTGGGGATACAGGGATGGGGCTCAGCATCCTCTGCTCCAGCACCCCTGGGGGGAGCCGTACCCCACTATCCCCAGGACCCCGAGGTGGGGGCGTCACCCTGCCCGGAGCACACTCATCCCAAACGCGGGTACAGGAGCCCCCACCCGGAGGGCAGGGCTGGTCTGAATTATTGATGGTGGCAGGATGCTGGTGGAGGTGACCTGCTCCAGCAGGCGCTGAAAGATTTATTCCAGGGAGGGAGAAAAAGAAAGGGGAAGGGAGGGAGGAGGCAGCTGCCACCCTGTCTCTCCTTTGGAAAGATGGGGTGAAGAATCCATCGCTTCAAGGGGGGGAGTGGGGAG